CCCGCGCCGCCCGCGCCGCCGCCACGCAGCGCTCCTGCACCCGCAGCGCCTCCGCGTACGGCACCGCGCCCAGCCGCAGCACCCGCACCGCCCGCCGCGACATCCCGGGACAGCGGGAACCCGGGCAGGGAACGGGGGGCACGGGGACGGGGCACGGAGACAGGCAGCGGACACGGAACAGCGGCGGGGAAGGCGGGGACGCGGCAAGGAGGCGGGGATGGGAGCGGCAGGCGAGGATAGGGACGGCGGAGTCATGTGGGCAGTGACGGGAACGGGAGCCGGTGGGCGTGGGGAGCGCACGGTGCCCGCAGGGGACGGCCGGGCATGGGGACAGAGAGGGGAGAACGGGGCACAGGCGATGGGGACAGCGAGGGGAGAACGGGGCACCCGGGATGGGGACAGAGAGGGGAGAACGGGGCACCGGGGATGGGGACAGCGAGGGGAGAACGGGGCACAGGCGATGGGGACAGCGAGGGGAGAACGGGACACAGGGGATGGGGACAGAGAGGGGACAACGGGGCACCCGGGATGGAAGTGGATGGGGGACGTGGGTAGGGCACGGGGGTAGGATGGCGAGCGGCTGAAGGGACACAGGATGGGGACAGGGCACAGGGCAGAGGGAACAGCTGCTCACAGGATGGTGGTTTGGGGTTGGAGAGGGCGGAGCAGGCGCTGGGACACGGGGCATGGCCCGAAGGAGGGCACCGGGGATGGGATAGGGGGTTGGAGATGGGAGCTGGTGCCCAGGGACAGGGGATAAGGAGGAGGGCACGGGCTCTGCAGCCCTCATCTAGGTGACAGATAGGGCTGCAGGAGAGGCACAGTGAGGACACACAGGGCCCCTCTAGCACAGGGTGTGGGACATGGGGCACTAGGGTGGGGGACAGGGTGAGGAGGGGACAGCCAGGGAATGTGCACATGGCATCCCAGCGCAGCTGGGCAATCACAGGCCTGCTCAAAGCAGGCAAAATTAAGGATTCTGGAGTACAATTAGGACAGCTGTGGATGCTCCAACCCTGCAAGTGTTCCAGGGCAGGTTGGATAAGGCCTTGAGCAACCTGGTGTCCTGGAATATGTCCCTGCCCATGGCAGGGGGTGGAACAGGATGAGCTTTAAGCTCCCTTCCAGCCACTTCACTTTGTGTGATTCTGTGCTGGCACCTCAAGGCTGTGCACTGTAAATAAAGTTCTTGTGTTACGGAGGTGCTGGTGAGAGCTGCACTTCATCCCCCTGGGACTGTGAAAGAGGAAATGTTCCCACCTCAGCTTCTTATTCCAAATGTAGGAAATAGACAAATCTGGTCGAACCGCTAATGAGTCAACCATTAAAACCTGAGCAAACTGTTCCCAGCCTGCAGCCCTTCCATCTCACCGACCGTGTGAAAGTATGTCCTGATTTTATAGAGCAGCCTCTGTGTTACTGAGCCCCTGCTTTGGTCAGAAACACACCTCGCTGGGCATTTGCCCTTTGTCGCCACAGGTAACTCAGCTGACAAGGTCAGCTTCTGTGTTACTGCCAGGAAGGAAAGGTGCTTCCCTTTGTCAGACCATTTTCTCAATGAAGAGGAGAAAAAATGGGGAAAAAACCACCAGGAGCTGGGCAGCACCTGGGGTGGGATCATGGCCTCAGCCAGCTCCAGGAGAGCTGCTCCGGGTCTCTGCCTTGGCAGGACAGACTGGTATTTTGCACCAGCAGCGTGTGTGCAGCGAGTTATTTCCTTGTTTTTATGGCTGAGCCCCCAGCTGCTGCCTGCAGATCAAAGCCCGGGCTCTTCCTGCCTGGCTGCTGCAGGACAGGGAGCCTGTGTCACAGCGCTGGCACCTCGTCAGCAGCACGCCAGCCTGGTCACTGTCACATCCTGGAGTGCCCTGGTCACTGTGCCCATCCCCACACGGCCACAAGCCTTTCGGCAAAATCCCTTTTTTTATTTTTCCCCATGGAAATTGTACTCGAGGGCCTTTTGCACGTACCAATGGCATGAATTGTTTGGGACGTGCAGGAGGTCAGTGTGTGGCCAGGAGCATCCCTGACCCTGTTCCTGGAGTCACGGCTGGCTCCCTTCTCCCACAGGGCTGGCAGGAGTGCAGGATCACCTCCTCTGTGCCCCTCAGCCCGGCGGGGTTTGATCCTGGCTGCTCATCCCTCTGTGTCCAGCTGGGTCTCCAAGGCTGGCTCCGTGGTGCTGGGGAGCCTGAGGCTGTGGCTGTATTTTGATTTTATTGTTGGCACCAGCCTGCCATGTGACACCTTGGGAGCATCAACCACCCTCCCTCCGCAGAGCACCGGCACCACTCAGGCCCTGCAGGCACCAGCCCCTCGCTGGGAAATATTTTATTGCAGAATGGCTGAATGGCTCTCCAGCTCTCGAGGGCAGGACCTCGGGGCTGTGTCCCACAGGCAGGGCTGCTCTGCCCCACCCTGCTCGCCTCACTGACCCAGGCACACGTTCCCAAGGCCGTGCCAAAGGGGAAGGAACTCGGGAGACACGTGTGGGGCTGTGGCCCCCGGGAGCAGTAAGGAAGTGCTCAAGGAAGCTCCTGGCTGGCCTGGCACACGGCTCTGCTGCTGTTTCTGGGCTGGGTGCCCCTCTCCGGGCAGTCGCTGAGCCGAGCTCCCCGTGCCACCAGGAGCTGACGTTCCCACCTGGGATAATCACAGTTGGAACCCAGGACATTCCTCTGGCTGCCCTGGATGGCTCGAGATCCTGGCAGAGGGCTGAGACACCCTGGCACGGAGTCAAAGACACCCGTGCCTTCAATTTTAACCCATGGAGAAAATTACCAGCTTTATGTGAAGATTTACAAACCACAAAAGTTTAATTAGAATTAGTTTGTCACAGGGTGAAAAGGCAGAATTTTGGGGTTTTTAGGATGGGGGTTCAGGAGGCAAGATGAAGGGATTTGGGCATGCCTTGTCCTTCTTCCTTCTCCTTCTTGTCCTCTGTCTTCTGTGTGATGGTGGCACTTTTGGATTGGCTTAGAGTAGAGACAGACTGTCTAACATAGGTGATAGGTACTGGAAAATTATTGTAAATAAAGTACACGTAGCTGTTAGTACAAAAAGATAACAGTGCCCCAAGGGCAGTGCCACAAACCGACCTGCCAGGCAGCGGGTCGGAGAATGTGTTAGATAAGAGAAAATAAACAGCCTTGAGAACCAGAGCCGAGGAACCCCGACTCCTTCTTCATCGTGGGCCAGGAAAAAGGGACTTTCTGACACCTCGGGGTCATCTCAGAGACCCCGAGAGCTCTGATGTGCTGCTTGTCCCTCAGCCGCGCTGCTGAAGGCGCTTCCCCTGCAGGAAGCCAGCCTGCGTGCCCTTCAGCTGCCCGGCTCTCCCTGCCCTGCTGGCTCTGCCTCCCACACCTCCGGGCAGCCGGCGCTGCGGCTCCGGAGCTGGCACCACGGGGAGGGAGGGCAAGTCCGCACTCAGAGATCCCAAAGCGCCTCACCAAGGACACCAGTGGAAGGTGTCCCTGCCCACGGCAGGGGAGTGGAACAGGGGGGTCTGCAGGGCCCCTTCCCACCCAAACCCTTCTGTGATTCCAATAACTCTCCTTACGTCCAGTCCGAACCTCTCTTGTTTCAATCTGTGCCCACAGAGCTGATGTTTTTTATTTTTACATATAAATTTACACAAAAATTTGTGCCTATAAACCTTATTTATACATATACACATAAATTATACATATAAATATATTTATACACATAAATTTATGCCTATAAAATGTATTAATACATATATGCATAAATTATAGATAGAAACATATTTATACATATAAATGTATGTATTTAAATTGTATTTATACATATACACATAAATTATACATATAAATATATTTATACACATAAATTTATGCCTATAAAACGTATTAATACATATATGCATAAATTATAGATAGAAACATATTTATACATATAAATGTATGTATTTAAATTGTATTTATACATATACACATAAATTATAGATATAAATATATGTCTACATATAAATTTATGCCTATAAATCGTATTTATACATATACACATAAATTATAGATATAAATACATTTGTACATATAAATTTATGCAAATAAATTGTATTTATACATATACACATAAATTATAGATATAAATATATGTATACATATAAATTTGTGCATATAAATTGTATTGATACATATACACATAAATTATACATATAAATACATTTATACATATAAATTTATGCTATAAATTGTATTTATCCACATATGTATAAATTATACATATAAATATATTTATACATATAAATTTATGCCTATAAATTGTATTTATCCATATACATATAAATTATACATATAAATATATTTATACATATAAATTTATGCCTATAAATTGTATTTATACACATACACATAGATTATACATATAAATATATGTATACATATAAGTTTACACATAGCTCGTGTTTTTTATTTGTACATAGAGTATAAAATATATTATAGAGTCTGAAGCAGGTGTGAGTGAGACCAGGTGCAGATCCCACAGCACAGAGGGGGAAAAAATACAGAGGAAAGAAATACAGAGGAAAGAAATACAGAGGAAAGAAATCCTCAGCTGGAGAATTTTGGCCTCTTACACCCCTGTGCACCCTTAGCCAACCTGCAGGACCAGCACAGGCTGTGCCCTGAGGGTGAAAAGTGCAATTTTACAGTTTCATCAGGCACCTTGGCCCAGGCCATGAAATCGTCCAGAAAGCTCAAAGCAGGAAGCCTAAGGAAGAAAAAACAAAAGAAGAAAAGGAGGCTTACGAGGGTGAAAAGTGCAAATTTACAGTCACCAGGCACCTTGGCCCAGGCCATGAAATCGTCCAGAAAGCTCAAAGCAGGAAGCTTAAGGAAGAAAAAACAAAAGAAGAAAAAGAGGCTTAAGACAATGAAAGGATGAGTCAGGTGTTTAAGAGCTGCACACCCCTTCCGCAAAGCGGGCAGAAAGGCCAAGCCAGGAATGCCACAGCACAGGAATAGTGCGGGGAGGAGGAAAAGAGACAAGAGTGTGAGAAAAGGCTCCCGGCACGCGGGAGGAAGAGGATGTGCCTGGTTTTGTCAGCGGCAAAACAAAGCTGCTGCCAGCCCAGCAGCGAGCAGCAGGGCCACAAGAGGTTATTCTGACTCCTACCAAGGAGCTCCGGGTTCCTGCCCTGCCCTTGGCCAGGGAAAAGCTGCTGTGCCC